GTGGGGAGTGTTCACTGTGGGAGAGTGTGGGGAGGGAGCTGTGGGTAACAGATATACGCAGGATTAAACAGCATTATAAACATGTTACCGAGCAAGGGGGATTTACTGAGGAGAGAACACATCACTACCCATGTTTCCACCACTATGATCTCTACAATGCCTCAGCGTTAGAAATGTATTAGTTACGGTTTCTCAGTAATAATTAATGAATCATTTGCGAATGTTTTCAAAATGATAGGGAGTAAATGGAGGAAGAATAGAATAGGGAGTAAGGAAACTTACTCGCTATTCTTTCCTTTGCTTGTGTTTGCCTTGTCTGTAGTTCATATTTAAATACAGCAGTAATTAATATTTTCTCCTTGCTCTTAGTAGTCTATTTTCTGTTAACACAAATACCTCCTTCATTGTTTGACATTCTGAGCAATGAAGTAAAGTGCAACAGAATATGTTTTTACTAAATAGTAATTAACATATTATCCAGACTTAAAATAACATCGAAATACCAGGATAACAAGTGGATAACAAGCAGTACAAGCAGGTAAGATACCAGGTATTGTAGCGGATAACAAGCAGTACAAGCAGGTAAGATACCAGGTATTGTAGCGGATAACAAGGTAGTACAAGCAGGTAAGATACCAGGTATTGTAGCGGATAACAAGCAGGTAAGATACCAGGTATTGTAATGGATAACAAGCAGGTAAGATACCAGGTATTGTAGCGGATAACAAGCAGGTAAGATACCAGGTATTGTAGTGGATAACACGCAGTACAAGCAGGTAAGATACCAGGTATTGTAGCGGATAACAAGCAGGTAAGATACCAGGTATTGTAATGGATAACAAGCAGGTAAGATACCAGGTATTGTAGTGGATAACAAGCAGGACAAGCAGGTAAGATACCAGGTATTGTAGTGGATAACAAGCAGGTAAGATACCAGGTATTGTAGCGGATAACAAGCAGGACAAGCAGGTAAGATACCAGGTATTGTAGCGGATAACAAGCAGGACAAGCAGGTAAGATACCAGGTATTGTAGTGGATAACAAGCAGGTAAGATACCAGGTATTGTAGCGGATAACAAGCAGGACAAGCAGGTAAGATACCAGGTATTGTAGCGGATAACAAGCAGGACAAGCAGGTAAGATACCAGGTATTGTAGCGGATAACAAGCAGGACAAGCAGGTAAGATACCAGGTATTGTAGCGGATAACAAGCAGGACAAGCAGGTAAGATACCAGGTATTGTAGCGGATAACAAGCAGGACAAGCAGGTAAGATACCAGGTATTGTAGCGGATAACAAGCAGGTAAGATACCAGGTATTGTAGCGGATAACAAGCAGGACAAGCAGGTAAGATACCAGGTATTGTAGCGGATAACAAGCAGGACAAGCAGGTAAGATACCAGGTATTGTAGCAGATAACAAGCAGGACAAGCAGGTAAGATACCAGGTATTGTAGCGGATAACAAGCAGGACAAGCAGGTAAGATACCAGGTATTGTAGCGGATAACAAGCAGGACAAGCAGGTAAGATACCAGGTATTGTAGCAGATAACAAGCAGGACAAGCAGGTAAGATACCAGGTATTGTAGCGGATAACAAGCAGGACAAGCAGGTAAGATACCAGGTATTGTAGCAGATAACAAGCAGGACAAGCAGGTAAGATACCAGGTATTGTAGCGGATAACAAGCAGGACAAGCAGGTAAGATACCAGGTATTGTAGCGGATAACAAGCAGGACAAGCAGGTAAGATACCAGGTATTGTAGCAGATAACAAGCAGGACAAGCAGGTAAGATACCAGGTATTGTAGCGGATAACAAGCAGGACAAGCAGGTAAGATACCAGGTATTGTAGCGGATAACAAGCAGGACAAGCAGGTAAGATACCAGGTATTGTAGCAGATAACAAGCAGGACAAGCAGGTAAGATACCAGGTATTGTAGCAGATAACAAGCAGGACAAGCAGGTAAGATACCAGGTATTGTAGCAGATAACAAGCAGGACAAGCAGGTAAGATACCAGGTATTGTAGCAGATAACAAGCAGGACAAGCAGGTAAGGTAAGAAATACTTGGTTTTACAATATAATTAGTTAAGAAATGCCGGGTTGATAAACTGCGGTGCTCACCTAACATAGTCTAACCTAACCTATCATAACTCAGACTAACTTATCCTACCCTAACTTAGTCTATCCTAAGTTAGCTTAACCTAACCTAGCCTATCGTATCCTAAGCTAGCCTAATCTATCCTAACTTACCGTAACCTATCCTTAACCTTACTTAGCTTAACCTCTTCTAAACTAACTTATCCTAACCAATACTAACTAACTTATCCTAACCAATACTAAACTAACTTAGCCTAACCTCTCCTAACTTAACCAAACTTAACGAGTGAGAGCTACAATGAGAGTCATATATATGTATATGGCGTGCACGAGGTATACTGTGACGTCACTACGACGTCACAGTATACCTGGTGGCAATGACCAATAGGGAGGAGCCCCCCGGCGGTGCCCGGGGTCAATCAATAATGCATCCATCAACAGTGTTGCGGGTGCTGTTGCTATCAATGTGTTGTGTTCCTGTGATTTTCCGATACATCATTTTTTGTTTAATTTATGCGCAATTTGAGCAAATTAATATTTTATTCAAGTGTTTAAATTTAAATATGACGCAAACTTTTGTTATAGCGATATTTAGGTAGATATTTATTTATCTTATCCACCTCACAGTATTATTTGTTGTCATATCAGTGTACAGTGTTGTAGGGCTGCACAGTTGTACAGTGTTGTGGTCCCACACAGTTGTACAGTGTTGTGGTCCTCACACAGTTGTACAGTGTTGTGGTCCTCACACAGTTGTACAGTGTTGTGGTCCCACACAGTTGTACAGTGTTGTGGGGCCGCACAGTTGTACAGTGTTGTGGTCCCCACACAGTTGTACAGTGTTGTGGTCCCCACACAGTTGTACAGTGTTGTGGTCCCACACAGATGTACAGTGTTGTGGTCCCCACACAGTTGTACAGTGTTGTGGTCCTCACACAGTTGTACAGTGTTGTGGTCCTCACACAGTTGTACAGTGTTGTGGTCCCACACAGTTGTACAGTGTTGTGGGGCCGCACAGTTGTACAGTGTTGTGGTCCCACACAGTTGTACAGTGTTGTGGTCCCCACACAGTTGTACAGTGTTGTGGGGCCGCACAGTTGTACAGTGTTGTGGTCCCCACACAGTTGTACAGTGTTGTGGTCCCCACACAGTTGTACAGTGTTGTGGTCCCACACAGTTGTACAGTGTTGTGGTCCCCACACAGTTGTACAGTGTTGTGGGGCCGCACAGTTGTACAGTGTTGTGGTCCCCACACAGTTGTACAGTGTTGTGGTCCCCACACAGTTGTACAGTGTTGTGGTCCCACACAGTTGTACAGTGTTGTGGTCCCCACACAGTTGTACAGTGTTGTGGTCCCCACACAGTTGTACAGTGTTGTGGTCCCACACAGTTGTACAGTGTTGTGGTCCCCACACAGTTGTACAGTGTTGTGGTCCCCACACAGTTGTACAGTGTTGTGGTCCCACACAGTTGTACAGTGTTGTGGTCCCTACACAGTTGTACAGTGTTGTGGTCCCACACAGTTGTACAGTGTTGTGGTCCCCACACAGTTGTACAGTGTTGTGGTCCCTACACAGTTGTACAGTGTTGTGGTCCCACACAGTTGTACAGTGTTGTGGTCCCACACAGTTGTACAGTGTTGTGGTCCCACACAGTTGTACAGTGTTGTGGTCCCACACAGTTGTACAGTGTTGTGGGTCCACACAGTTGTACAGTGTTGTGGGTCCACACAGTTGTACAGTGTTGTGGTCCCACACAGTTGTACAGTGTTGTGGTCCCCACACAGTTGTACAGTGTTGTGGTTCCCACACAGTTGAACAGTGTTGTGGTCCCCACACAGTTGTACAGTGTTGTGGTCCCACACAGTTGTACAGTGTTATGGTCCCACACAGTTGTACAGTGTTGTGGTCCCCACACAGTTGTACAGTGTTATGGTCCCACACAGTTGTACAGTGTTGTGGTCCCCACACAGTTGTACAGTGTTATGGTCCCACACAGTTGTACAGTGTTGTGGTCCCCACACAGTTGTACAGTGTTGTGGTCCCACACAGTTGTACAGTGTTATGGTCCCACACAGTTGTACAGTGTTGTGGTCCCACAAAGTTGTACAGTGTTATGGTCCGCACAATTGTACGGTGTTATGGTCCCCACACAGTTGTGGTCCCACACAGTTGTGGTCCCACACAGTTGTGGTCCCCACACAGTTGTGGTCCCCACACAGTTGTGGTCCCACACAGTTGTGGTCCCACACAGTTGTGGTCCCACACAGTTGTGGTCCCACACAGTTGTGGTCCCCACACAGTTGTGGTCCCACACAGTTGTGGTCCCACACAGTTGTGGTCCCACACAGTTGTGGTCCCACACAGTTGTGGTCCCACACAGTTGTGGTCCCACACAGTTGTGGTCCCACACAGTTGTGGTCCCACACAGTTGTGGTCCCACACAGTTGTGGTCCCACACAGTTGTACACAGTTGTGGTCCCACACAGTTGTGGTCCCACACAGTTGTGGTCCCACACAGTTGTACAGTGTTGTGGTCCCACACAGTTGTGGTCCCACACAGTTGTACAGTGTTGTGGTCCCACACAGTTGTACAGTGTTGTGGTCCCACACAGTTGTGGTCCCACACAGTTGTGGTCCCACACAGTTGTACAGTATTATGAGGTAAATGATTATTACTATTTAATACAACTTAAAAAAAGTTATTATTATTTTGTCATAATGATTTCAGGTCTTAATATCTTTATTTGTTGTTCAAATATAATTATGATATCATTTGATATATAATATTTGTGATATATTTGTGGCAAGTGAAGGAGTGTTAGTGATAGAGGTGGTAGAGCATGTTAGAGTTTAAGATGTAAGGTTGGAGTACTGAGAGAGCGGAGTGTTTGGTTCCAGGGTACCTGGTGGTGGGCGTGCTCTCTGTGGTGTCCTGCCTCCTCCAGCTCATCCTCCTGGGCCTCCTGGCAGCCCTCACGCCCACCTACACCACGCCCGCCCCGCCGCCCACCCCCACCGAGGAGAGGATGAAGGCGTGGGTGCAGTTCCTGGCCGGGGCGCAGGGAGCCATGGCGGTGTTGGTGGGCGGGATGGTGGGCGTGGCGATCGTGGTGACGTCGTGCTGCTGCAAGACCCCTAAGGACAATGTGGTGGGCGTGTACCACCCCAGGTGACACCACCACCCACCACACCCCCGCTCCTCGCCCACCTTCACCGTCCCTCACGCCCACACCCCCGACGCCCATAGCCCACACAGTCTCCAGGCTTAACTGTACAGCATCGTTGTCTTTCACAGTGGGCTGTGAGGCTGGCTGGTGTGCTCCCCGTCCTCACCTCACTCATAACCCCTTGTGTAATGTTCACAACTCCGCTTTACAACTAATCAATTTACTTCTCAATTGAACTTACCAAAAATATATATATGAAAATGAGATACTTTAAAGAAGATACTGTTGTTCCCTCTTTAAAATATTCAATTTTGTATATTTGTAGGTCCAATTTTGGTGTAAACTGTTTAATTGGCTCCAAAACGGGAGGTGGGTATATACACGGGGCACTAGCCGTGGCGTGAGGCTGGCCTGGCTGCCCCTGGCACACACCCACCCAAACCCGTAAACAACACGAAAAAAAAGATGCCCAAGACTTGCCCCGTGCCCAGGGCTCCTGCCTGGCCAGGGACTGCCCCGTGCCGGAACCTGCAGGACACGGTCCCTGTGATACATCCGGTGAGAGGGGTGGGGGGGGGGGGTCTTCATGGGGCGTGACACGGCCCTCCGCACCCCACCGGAAGCCCGTGACACCTAGAGCGTGACGTACGCCCGGCCCCACCTGCCTGGGCGGGGTCCGGGCGGGAACCATCACCAGCGGTTCCATGGACACATTTAAGTGACCTGGTGTAGTGACACATTTAAGTGACCTGGTGTAGTGAGGTTTTAAAGAGTGAAGATAACGGTATGAAGTGGTGAGTGTACTCAGAGTGTCTCACAAACTTGGGTGAGTGTACTGGAGAAAGTGTAGATAAGAAGTGCCTTTGACAGTGCTCACTCCCCTGGCAAGTGGTCAAACTACAGGCCAACACTTGCCACCATCCACCTGGATAACTCTCCCTTTCCTTCACAAACCATCCTCTTGTCCCCATTTTTACACTTTTCTTATATATATATATATATATATATATATATATATATATATATATATATATATATATATATATATATATATATATATATATGTCGTACCAGAATGCACTTCTCGGCCTACTATGCAAGGCCCGATTTGCCTAATAAGCCAAGTTTTCCTGAATTAATATATTTTCTCTAATTTTTTTCTTATGAAATGATAAATCTACCCATTTCATTATGTATGAGGTCAATTTTTTTTATTGGAGTTAAAATTAACGTAGATATATGACCGAACCTAACCAACCCTACCTAACCTAACCTATCTTTATAGGTTAGGTTAGGTTAGGTAGCCGAAAAAGTTAGGTTAGGTTAGGTTAGGTAGGTTAGGTAGTCAAAAAACAATTAATTCATGAAAACTTGGCTTATTAGGCAAATTGGGCCTTGCATAGTAGGCTGAGAAGTGCGTTCTGGCTACTAGGTACGACATATATATATATATATATATATATATATATATATATATATATATATATATATATATATATATATACACATATATATTATAGTAATATTTTTTCTGTAATACCTTTTATCACGCGTCCAATTTCTCATAATTGGTGTAAGTAAAGTAGGGGCTGGTAGGTGTAGCCACAGCCTGCTCTCCTTAGAGAGCGTCCAGCCTCCATACTGACCAGTCATCATATGGCCGGGATACGCCAGCATGTTGGCAACACTGTACACATCACAACATAAGGTGCCTTACTGCCTCCTCTGGCAACCCGGCAGCAACTGTACAATATGAAAATAAACACTACGCAACTAGGCTGAAATGTTGTTTTATTCCTAAGCCCGCCCGTCCTCCTGAGGTGCCCCAACGTCAAGAAACACAGCACCGCTCCTGTGCCAGGTACGTTCACTACGGGCTCACCATAGCCCGTGCTACTTGCAACTTGTTCCGAGTAGCTGAACCTATAACAACAACAACATCAAGAAAACGGTCAGTGTTAAGGGTCGTCTCCTAACCTACCAGAGGACCCAAAACAGAAAACGGGAGAGTACGTCACTTTCGCCAGCCGCTTTCATTTTCTAGTACGACAATTTTGGGCCGTATGTACCGCATGCGAGGTAAAAGCGATGCTCCTTGTAGTAGGAGAACAGGTTGGGTAATTATGGAGCGAGAAGTGTTAAGTTCATCATATACCAACACAAGGAAGCTCCCGCCTTCACTGCTGGCTCATTGGCCCCCGTCACCTATTGTTCTCCCACGTGTAGCCTACACTGGCACGGCTTCAACACTGGCACGGCCTCAACACTGACACAGCCTCAACACTGACACAGCCCCAACACTGACACAGCCCCAACACTGACACAGCCCCAACACTGACACACCCCAACACTGACACAGCCCCAACACTGACACACCCCAACACTGACACAGCCCCAACACTGACACACCCCAACACTGACACAGCCCCAACACTGACACAGCCCCAACACTGACACAGCCCCAACACTGACACAGCCCCAACACTGACACACCCCAACACTGACACAGCCCCAACACTGACACACCCCAACACTGACACAGCCCCAACACTGACACAGCCCCAACACTGACACAGCCCCAACACTGACACAGCCCCAACACTGACACACCCCAACACTGACACAGCCCCAACACTGACACACCCCAACACTGACACACCCCAACACTGACACAGCCCCAACACTGACACACCCCAACACTGACACAGCCCCAACACTGACGCAGCCCCAACACTGACACAGCCCCAACACTGACACAGCCCCAACACTGACACAGCCCCAACACTGACACAGCCCCAACACTGACACCCCCCCCAACACTGACACAGCCCCAACACTGACACAGCCCCAACACTGACACCCCCCCAACACTGACACAGCCCCAACACTGACACAGCCCCAACACTGACACCCCCCAACACTGACACAGCCCCAACACTGACACCCCCCCAACACTGACACAGCCCCAACACTGACACCCCCCAACAGTGACACACCCCAACACTGACACAGCCCCAACACTGACACACCCCAACACTGACACAGCCCCAACACTGACACAGCCCCAACACTGACACAGCCCCAACACTGACACAGCCCCAACACTGACACAGCCCCAACACTGACACAGCCCCAACACTGACACAGCCCCAACACTGACACAGCCCCAACACTGACACACCCCAACACTGACACAGCCCCAACACTGACACAGCCCCAACACTGACACAGCCCCAACACTGACACACCCCAACACTGACACAGCCCCAACACTGACACAGCCCCAACACTGACACAGCCCCAACACTGACACACCCCAACACTGACACAGCCCCAACACTGACACAGCCCCAACACTGACACACCCCAACACTGACACAGCCCCAACACTGACACAGCCCCAACACTGACACCCCCCCAACACTGACACAGCCCCAACACTGACATCCCCCCAACACTGACACAGCCCCAACACTGACACCCCCCAACACTGACACAGCCCCAACACTGACACAGCCCCAACACTGACACAGCCCCAACACTGACACAGCCTCAACACTGACACACCCCAACACTGACACAGCCCCAACACTGACACAGCCCCAACACTGACACACCCCAACACTGACACAGCCCCAACACTGACACAGCCCCAACACTGACACAGCCCCAACACTGACACACCCCAACACTGACACAGCCCCAACACTGACACAGCCCCAACACTGACACACCCCAACACTGACACAGCCCCAACACTGACACAGCCCCAACACTGACACCCCCCAACACTGACACAGCCCCAACACTGACATCCCCCCAACACTGACACAGCCCCAACACTGACATCCCCCCAACACTGACACAGCCCCAACACTGACATCCCCCCAACACTGACACAGCCCCAACACTGACACAGCCCCAACACTGACACCCCCCCAACACTGACACAGCCCCAACACTGACACCCCCCAACACTGACACAGCCCCAACACTGACACACCCCAACACTGACACAGCCCCAACACTGACACAGCCCCAACACTGACACAGCCCCAACACTGACACAGCCCCAACACTGACACCCCCCCAACACTGACACCCCCCTAACACTGACACCCCCCCAACACTGACACAGCCCCAACACTGACACAGCCCCAACACTGACACAGCCCCAACACTGACACCCCCCCAACACTGACACAGCCCCAACACTGACACCCCCCCCCAACACTGACACAGCCCCAACACTGACACCCCCCCAACACTGACACAGCCCCAACACTGACACACCCCAACACTGACACAGCCCCAACACTGACACAGCCCCAACACTGACACACCCCAACACTGACACACCCCAACACTGACACACCCCAACACTGACACAGCCCCAACACTGACACAGCCCCAACACTGACACCCCCCAACACTGACACCCCCCAACACTGACACCCCCCCAACACTGACACCCCCCCAACACTGACACCCCCCCAACACTGACACACCCCAACACTGACACAGCCCCAACACTGACAAGGCCCCAACACTGACACCCCCCAACACTGACACCCCCCAACACTGACACCCCCCCAACACTGACACCCCCCCAACACTGACACAGCCCCAACACTGACACAGCCCCAACACTGACACAGCCCCAACACTGACACCCCCCCAACACTGACACAGCCCCAACACTGACACCCCCCCAACACTGACACAGCCCCAACACTGACACCCCCCCAACACTGACACAGCCCCAACACTGAAACACCCCAACACTGACACAGCCCCAACACTGACACAGCCCCAACACTGACACAGCCCCAACACTGACACACCCCAACACTGACACACCCCAACACTGACACAGCCCCAACACTGTCACAGCCCCAACACTGACACCCCCCCAACACTGACACAGCCCCAACACTGACACAGCCCCAACACTGACACCCCCCCAACACTGACACAGCCCCAACACTGACACCCCCCAACACTGACACAGCCCCAACACTGACACCCCCCAACACTGACACAGCCCCAACACTGACATCCCCCCAACACTGACACAGCCCCAACACTGACATCCCCCCAACACTGACACAGCCCCAACACTGACACACCCCAACACTGACACACCCCCCCACTGACACAGCCCCAACACTGACACAGCCCCAACACTGACACCCCCCCAACACTGACACAGCCCCAACACTGACACAGCCCCAACACTGACACCCCCCCAACACTGACACAGCCCCAACACTGACACACCCCAACACTGACACACCCCAACACTGACACAGCCCCAACACTGACACAGCCCCAACACTGACACCCCCCCAACACTGACACATTCCCAACACTGACACAGCCCCAACACTGACACCCCCCCAACACTGACACAGCCCCAACACTGACACCCCCAACACTGACACAGCCCCAACACTGACACCCCCCAACACTGACACCCCCAACACTGACACAGCCCCAACACTGACACCCCCCAACACTGACACAGCCCCAACACTGACACAGCCCCAACACTGACACAGCCCCAACACTGACACAGCCCTAAGACTGACACAGCCCCAACACTGACACAGCCCCAACACTGACATCCCCCCAACACTGACACAGCCCCAACACTGACACAGCCCCAACACTGACACAGCCCTAAGACTGACACAGCCCCAACACTGACACAGCCCCAACACTGACATCCCCCCCAACACTGACACAGCCCCAACACTGACATCCCCCCAACACTGACACAGCCCCATCACTGACATCCCCCCAACAGTGACACAGTCTCAACACTGACGCTGTGACCATGTACAACTATAAGATCATCCTATACAAGAGCCCTGGCCAATAATGCCGCCAGGACAACAAAAGGGCCCCACAAGGACACTATTCAAGAGCACACCAGAGAACAACTGCCACAAGTGCCAAGGTTATGCTACGTCACCAGCTACACAAAGATAACCAGGACTACCTGTACAC